ATACTGCAAGTAGCAAGAAAGAAACAATTCATCTATCAAGGAGAAACAGTCAAGATTACACAGACTTAGCAGTTTCTTACATTAAAGAATTGTAGAGCTTGTAATACGATATCCCAGAAGGCAATAGAGCTTGGATAACAATCAACTATGTAGTAAAATTGAGCATAATCTTTCAGGGGAAAAGATGCACATTGAAACTTTCCTGATGAAAAGACAAGAGCTCAACAGAAAATTCGATCTTCAGATACAAATTTTATATCTCTAAATGCTTACAAAGAGGGAAGAGGGAAGAGGGAAGATCAATTAACCGGGCATGAAACTAAAAAAGCTAGAAAAAGAATAAATTAAAAATCCCCAATTAAATACCAAATTAGAAATTCTAAAAATCAAAGGAGAGATAAATAAAACTGAAAGTAAGAAAACTATTTAAATAATAAATAAAATTAAGAGATGGTTTTACAAAAAGACCAATAAAAAAACCTTTTGGTTAATTTGATTAAAAAAAGAAAGAAGAAAAACATTTAACCAATATTAAAAATGAAAAGGGTGAATTCACTACCAATGAAAAGGAAATTAATGCCAATAAAGTAACAGTCTAAGTGAAATGGATGAATATTTATAAACATATAAATTGCCTAGATTGAGAGAAGAGGAAATAAAATACTTAAATAATCCCATTTTAGAAAAAGAAATTGAACAAGCCATTGATGAACTCCCTAAGAAAAAATCTCCAGGGCCAGATGGATTTGCAATTGAATTCTGCTAAACATTTAGAGAACAATTAATTACAATACTATATAAATTATTTGGGAAAATTAGGCCAAGAAGGAGTCCTACCAAATTCTTTTTATGACACAAATATGGTGCTGATACCTAAACCTGGAAGAGCCAAAACAGAAAAAAATTATATACCAATTTCCCTAATGAATATAGATACAAAAATTTTAAAATAAAAGATTAGCAAAGAGATTACAGCAACCTATCAGGAGGATAATACACTATGATCAGGTGGGTTTTATACCAAGAATGTAGGGCTGGTTCAAAATTAGGAAAACTATCAGCACAATTGACCATATCAATAACAAAATTAACAGAATCATATGATTATCTTATTAGATGCAGAAAAAACTTTTGATAAAATACAACATCCATTCCTATTAAAACCAGTAGATATCATAGGAATAAACGGAGCTTTCCTCAAAATGATAAGCAGTATTCATCTAAAGCCATCAGCAAGCATTATATTTTAATGGGGTCAAACTAGAAGCATCCCCAATAAGATCAGAGGTGAAACAAAGATGCCCATTATCATCACTATTATTCAATGGTGTGCTAGAAATGTTAGCTTTAGCAATAAGAGAAGAAAAAGAAATTGAAGGAATTAGAATACGCAATGAGGAAACAAAACTGTCACTCTTTGCAGATGATATATATATATATATATATATATATATATATATATAATGCTATAATCAGAAAACTCTAGAGAATCAACTAAAGAACTACTTGAAAGAATTAACTTTAGTAAAGTTGCAGGATATAAGATAAATCATCAGCATTTCTATATATTACCAACACAGCTCAGCAACAAGAAATAGAAAGAGAAATTCCATTGAAAATAACTGTAGAAAATATAAAATATTTGGGAGTTTACCTGCCAAGACAAACCCAGAAACTTTAAGAACACAATTACAAAATACTTCAGAGAAATAAAGTCAGATCTAAGCACCTGGAAAAATTTCAATTTCTCATGAGTAGGCCAAGCTAATATAATAAAAATGACAATTCTATCTAAATTAATTTACTTATTCAATGCCCTACCAATCAAATTACCAAAAATTTATTTGATAGAGCTAGAAAAAAATAACAACAAAATTCACATGGAAGAGCAAATGGTTGAGAATATCAAGGGAACTAATTTTAAAAAGTGCAAAGTAAAGTGGCCTATCTGCACCCAAATCTAAAACTATATTAAAAACTATTTGGTACTGGCTAAGAAATTCTTCCATATTAGAGTGAAGTTGTATTTATGACCTAAGGGATTTACAAATTATGAATTAAAAGTTTTGTATGCATTTCTAGAGACAAGTCATAGACGTGTTTGAAATGCTAAAATGTACAATTAAAGGGAGATTTGATTGTCATGCTACAGAGTGGTATTTATGTGGTATAAATTATTTTATGAAGGAGGTGGACAAAGGATTATGAATGCTACTGTAGTTGACTAGGCATATTATTCAGGATCTGCATAAAAATTTATTTAAATCAATGATATTAAAAATGGATTAGTACAGAAACATAGTGTTTTAGAATAAATGGAATCTCAGAGAGCAGTCCAAATCCTTTACTTTATACTTGTAAATAGAAAATGTCAAAGAGATGAAGAAGCTAGTTAGCGGCACAGCCAGAACTAGACCACATGGTTCTAAATCCTGCTTGCCTTATCTATCTACACTACAGCATTGTCTCAGTTGAGAAGGATATCTTTTACTTGTTAGCATTTATCATTCAGTGGTTTGTGGTATTATCCATGATGACTTGTGCAGGAAGATGACACTACACAATTAAAATTATGGTTGCACAAAAAACAAATTGAGTATCAATTTTCAGAGAGCAGATAAAAAGATTTTTGGAAACCAATGTTTTGGATAAATTATAGCTTTTCTACCATAACCCTGAATTAAAATATCAAAGTAACCAGAAGAAATAACTAGGGAATGCTCTACCCCAGGACATAATAATTTGTCAAGGCTCCAGAAAACTAATATATTTTAGTTTTTTTGACAAAAAAATTGAGGTAATTCACAATCAATCTGTACAAAAGAATGCAAGAAATAATGGCAAGAAAGTAAGATGTTGGTTCTAGGCACTGAAAATGACTACCCGGCCTCAGTACCAGGGCTCTAACACACTCTTCTTCATGATAAGAGTCTGGTTCCCTTTGACAATATGATTTATATGAAAATTTATATGCAAGAGGTTCACTATTAGTAAAAGTCAAGAAAAAAAGATTCTCATGTTTTTATTTTTCTAAGCTTCACCCCAAAACAATGAAGTTTTGAGGTTTATGCTAATAGTTCACTGACTCCTCAAGTTCAAAAAAACTGACAGATCACCAATTTCAAATCTAATGATGGTTTAAGCGATGCTGTTACAGCTACACTTACCTATCAGATAATGAATTTTAACAGTTTTTTGATGAACACAAAATAAGGTGGAACAAATAAATATCCTCTTATGGAGGATGAGTATTTGAAGGAAAGCATATTTATCTTACAATAGCAAACCATTATAATTAACTTTTCTTTTTATTCCTATCCCTATTACTTTAACCTTTTAAAATTCTAACATAAACACATTTAAGTATATCCTATGATTGTGGCTTGTACAGAAAATTTTATTGGTTATTATGTATTTCATAAAGTCAGTGTCTATATTCTGATATCTTCCTGAAATATATTTATGAAAAGTTCTATCACTAAAACTATACTTTTTAATTGTCCTTATATTTAATTCAATGTTCTGGACTATAACTTCTTGATTGATAAGCCTCATAGACACTCCATTTTAAATGAGATTCCATAATATAATTTTATTAAAACTGGATTAGGTTTTTTAAAAATTTGTGCTTAAAATTCATATATGTAGGTAACATGATTAAAAATGCTATTTATTAAGGAATACAACTTCACTTTTTTAGTTCTAAATGCTTGTCACAACAATTTCAAGTCTGTAGTTAGAGATATACTATTTTACAAATGAATAAAATGAGGGAAAGCAAGGTTCAGTTGTCACATGACTAGCTATAGGGAATTAAAATATTTTATTGGAATACAACATTTTTAGGCAGTAGTAAGATATATTTAAAAGTAAATACTGTTTTTTCTGCCATTGTGATTTCTCATTTCTTCTAAGGAAGGTTTATATAGCTCATCTCTTTCTGATATGTAGTGTAACGTACAATAGTTAAAAGTACATGATAACTCTTTCCTTTTCGCTCTGTTAGCATGAGTGAGTCATCTAAGCTTTCTGTGCCTCAATTTCATCATCATTCTAATGAGAGTAACCAGAATACCCACATAAGTTAATGGGTAAACTGATTTGAAAAAAAAATCTCATAAATGTGAGATAAATTTATCATTAAAAGCCCATGTCATTAAGATTCCAAATGGCCCAGATGGCAGGATTAAATGTTAGGAGCTAAATCACAAAATCTTCTCTCTTCTAAAGTTTAATCACCTGCATCAGGGGGTTGGAAAGTCTTCTTAGGGTCATGTTAGAGGTGGGCACATATGCAAATATTGACCCAAAATCTAGGAACACATATGCATTACCTTTCAAACCTCTGTTCCCTGGTCCCCATAACTCCTGTGGCTTTTTTTATTTTCTTTAGTATCTGTGAAGCGAAAGCTTTATGAACATTTTAAAATTTTGGAAACATTTAAAATGTATATATTTTGAAAGCCTGGATAAGTGATTTACACAGAGTTCTAAAATACAACAAGGAATCTGCTCTCCTGTTGTTTTACTGTTCTATCTTTACATATTCAAATATTAGATCATGCAAACTATTGGTGCATGTGTGCACATACTACAGTTATAGGAGACCCTTATATATATTATTTAATTTTCCCTTATTTAAGAAGCAGAAACAAATAATATTGCTAAATATATTTTAAAAGTGTTCAAGAATTTTCATATGATTTAGTTAGATATATTTAGAATAACGTAGAAATCTGAAAATTGTTATTGTAGCCTACATAAAGAAATTTTTGGATAAAGCGGATAATAATAACTGAAAAGATTTTGAGGCTATTTTTAGTAAACAGTTTCAGGATGGTGAACCTACAAGGATAATTAAGCAAACTAAACCAAAACTAAACCAGTTCTTATCCCTTTAAAGTATGAAAAGGAAATAGGGGGGAAAAAAGTATATATGACTTTTATTTTTTATTATTATTTTTTTAAATTAATTATTTCTTTGGGTTTATCAGTCCTACCTTCCTGGTCCATGGCAGGTCCACCCAAAGCAAATTCTGGATCAGAAGCCCTCTCTGAACTGCCAATTTGGGGTGAAAGGGGCTGATTAAGTGCCTTCTGTGTTCCATACTGATTAATTAGTTGGCGATGACTATGTACAAAATAAAATATAAAACCTAATAAGTCGACATCAACAAAGATAAAAATTATGTGCATCAAGTCTTAGTGTATCTCAAACTTTAAATAATCAGATTATCACCAACAAATTTTTTTATTGTTTTGATAAGGTCTACAGAGCACAACTAATCATTCAGTCTAGATGTAATACACTTGTATTCAGAGTCACAGTATTATAGAATTGTAGATTCAGAGCTGAAAGGTTCTATATAGGTCATCTACTCCAATCTCTTTATTTCATAGATTAAGTAACTGAGTCCCAGAAAAGGTAATGGTTGTCCAAGGTCACACATGTAGTGACAGATGATCTCTCCCCAGGTACTCTAACTACAAATCAAGCATTCTTTACCCTGTACCAAGCTGACATTCTGTAAAGTCTAATGTTGACTATTAGTATTTATGATTTATTCTTTTTAGTTATCACTCATTTGAAGGTGTCCAAGACATAATGTGATTTTCTCTAAAACTAACTTTAGGTCTACTATAATCGAGAAGTGTCAGCCAAGGTTAAAAAGCAAACAAACAAAAAAGAAACAACTGCCTCTCTAAATCAGGCATCACAAGTAAATTATAGAACTTTTGGGAAGATCAAATAATAAAATGTATGTAAAACATTGGAAAATCTTAAAGAACTATAAAAATGGCAGCTATTATCATCATCACTATCATTATATCTAAAAATTCCAATCTCAGATTACCTGACTCCACTTTGTACCCTGTCTCTTACTTATGTCCTCCTGAACTTGGATGACTTAACTTTGCCATTTGTCCAGTTTCTTCTTAGTGCCTTGAAGTATGCCTGCCAGATGCTTGCTATATTACGCAACTATAAAAGTCCCAGGTAGCTTCAGTTATATGGAGGAAAACGCTTTTAAATCTAATTAAGGATAATTAGAATTATAAGTACTTACATGGAATGACCACTGAAAATAGCATATTCTTCAGCTTTCCATCCATATATATCTTGGCAAGAGAGATCAACGTCATGCTGAAGAAGAAGACTGACTATGCCTGTTGGTTCACCACTGACAGCAATCATCAGGGCTGTTCTAGAATAACAAAGAAACAGTTCACATTTAAGATTTTAATTAGTGACATTTAATCAAATTTTTCTTGATATGTTTCAATAAAAAGATATTTCCTATTCTTTATAGTTAAGATGCGTCTGGAGCATAAACACTTAGTGATTGACACGAGTACTCTTAGTGCTTATGTGTAGCATTAAAAATGACAATTAAGACCAGAATGAAAGATAACAAAGATAATTTTTTTTGCCCCTTTAGAGTTTTAGCAGGGATTGTCAAATTTAAGGCTTTATAATAGACAAGAAGAGAGTATGTCAAAGTTGTGTGCAATAGTTAAGGACTTTCAGTGAGGGATCCCACACAGTTTCCACTTGTTTACTGGCCTTCAAAGTAAAGCAGAAACCCTTTGAAAATGATTAGATTAGAAATAATCTTGGCAACTCACTCCACTAAATTCCTATTCCAATGTCACTTCATAATGTGAAGCTGAGGAGTGGCCCAGTGGTGCAGTAGATAGAGCTTCCAGCGTTGGAGTCAGGAAGACCTGGGTTCAAATCCAGCCTCAGAGACTTAGAAGTTACTAGCTGAGTGAACCTGGGTAAGTCACTTAACTTCAATTACCTCACCAAAAATAAATAAATAAATAAAAAGCAAAAAAAAAAAAAAAGGAAAACAAAACAAAACAAAAAATCAAAAAACCAACACCCATAATGTGGAGCTAGCCCTTGGTTGGCAAAGGCTAATCCAGAACAAACTATTTTATGTCTTAACAAACATGAAAGTCTTTGAACATGAATAGAGCCATGAACTCTGTGTTGTTTAAGGACAAACCTAAGTAAACAAAGGTTCTTCATCAGAAAGCTAGCACCAGTTGATTTGGGAAAGGCCCATTAATTTATGAAGGCAGTTAATTAAGATTTAGTGTGATTATGAGCTCCACCAGTAGAGGGAATATCCACAATGATGAAAACACGAATCTTCTGAAGTACCAGGTTTGTTGTGTGCTGAAAATTTATGGGATTTTTGCCTAACATAGTACCACAGCAATCTCAGTAATGTCATGTATAGGTTTGCTGTCCCTTGACACTACTTAGTGAAAATTTGTGGGATGCAGCCAAAGCTGTACTTAGGGGAAAAGCTATTTCTCTAAATTTTTACATCAACAAAACAGAAAAAGAAGAGATCAATGAATTGGGCATGCAACTTAAAAAAAAGAAACTAGAAAAAGAACATATTAAAAATCCCCATTTGAGCACCAAATCAGATATCCTGAAAAATCAAAGGTGAGATTAATAAGACTGAAAGTATATATATTAAAAAAAAAAAAACTACTGAACTAATAAATAAATCTAGGAGCTAGTTTTATGGAAAAAAAAAACAGTAAGACAAGCCATTGGTTAATTTAATTAAAAATAAAGAAATAAGAAAACAAAATTACCAGTATAAAAAATGAAAAGGGTAAAATCACCACCAATGAAGAAGACATTAAAGCAATTCTTAGGAAAGAGCTTGCCCAATTATATGCCAATAAATCTGACAATCTGAGCTAAATCAATGAATACTTAATGAATATATAAATTATCCAGATTAATAGGTCAGGAAATATAATGCCTAAATAACCCAATCTTAGAAAAAGAAACTGAACAAGCCATTAATGAATTTCCCAAGAAAAAATCCCCAGAGCTAGATGGGTTCACAAGTGAAGTCTACCCAACATTAAAAGAACAATTAATCCCAGTGCTACATAAACTATTTGGAAAAATAGGTGAAGGAGTCCTACCAAGCTCCTTTTATGACACAAATATGGTGCTGACACCTAAACCAGGAAAAGCTAAAAGGGAGAAAGAAAATTATAGATCAATTTCCCTAATGGATATCAATGTAAAAATGTTCAACAAAATATCAGCAAGGTGATTACAGCAATATAGCACAAGGATTATACATACACTATGACCAGATGGAATTTATACCAGGAATGCAGAAAGGGCACAATATTAGGAAAATTATGAACAAAACTTACCATATAAACATGAAAACCAACAGAAATAATATTAATTTCTCAATTGATCCTGAAAAAGCTTTTGCCAAAATACAGCATACATTCTTATTAAAAACAGTGGGAGCATAGGAATAAAGGAGCATTCCTTAGAATGATAAGTAGTATCTATCTAAAACCATCAGCAAGCATTATCTGTAATAGAAATAAGCTAGAAGCCTTGCCAATAATATCAGGGTGAAGCAACAATGCCCTTTATCACCACTATTATTTAGTATGTATTAGAAATGCTAGTTATAGCAATGAGAGAAGAAAAAGAAATCAAAGGAATTAAAATAGGCAATGGGGAAACAAATTTATCACTCTGTAGATGATATGATGGTATACTTAGAGATCCCTACAGAATCAACTAAAAAACTACTTGAAATAATTAACAACTTTAGCAAAGTTGCAGGACATAAGATAAACTCACATAAACCATCACCATTTCTTTACACGACCAACAAAACCCAGCAACAACAGATAGAAAGGGAAATTCCATTCAAAACAACTATAAACAATACAAAATACCTGTGAGGCTATCTGTGAAGACAAACCCAGGAACTATATGAAAACAATTACAAAACACTTTTTGCACAAATAAAGTCAGATCTAAACAATTGGAAAAACATCAATTGCTCAGGGGTAGGCTAAGCCAATATAAAAAAAAAAATTACAATTCTGCCTAAACTAATTTACTTATTCACTGCTGTACCAATCAAACTACCAAAAATTTATTTGACAGAACTAGTAAAAAAATCTGAAAGAATAAAAGGTCAAGAATATCAAAGGAATTAATGAAAAAAATACAAAGGAAGATAATATAGCAATACTAAATATAAAGCAGTGATCACCAAAACTATCTGGCAAAAAAATTATCTGTATCTAAGAAATAGAGTGTTATATTAGTGGAACAGATTAGGTACACCAGACACAATAGTTAATGACCATAAGAACTTAGTGTTTGACAAACCTAAAGACCCCAGCTTTTGGTATAAGAACTATCTAGCAAAAACTGCTTGGAAAATTGGAAAATAGGACACAAATCAACATCTCACACTGTATACCAAGATAACGTCAAAATAGGTGCCTGATTTAGACATAAAGGATGACACCACAAGCAACTTAGAAGAGCAAAGAAGATCTGTCAGGTCTATGGGGAAGGGAAGAATTCATCACCAAATAACAGAAAGAAAGCATTATGAAATATAAAATAGATGATTTTGATTATATTAAAATAAAAAGCTTCTGTACAAACAAAACCAATGCAACCAAGATTGGAAGGAAAGCAGAAAGCTGAGAAACAATCTTTATAGCAAGTATCTTTGATAAAAGCCTCATTTGTCAAACATATAGAGAAATTTAAGTCAAATTTATAGGAATACAGACCATTCCCCAACTGATAAATGGTCAAAGGATATGAATGGGCCGTTTTCATTTGAAGAAATCAAAGCTATCTATAGGCATATGAAGAAGTGCTCTAAATCATTTCTGATTAGAGAAATGCAAATTAAAACAATTCTGAGGTATCATCTCACATCCATCACATTGGCTATTATGACAAAAAAAGGAAAATAATAAATGTTGGAGAAGATGAGGGAAAATTGGGACACTAATGCACTGTTGGTAGAGTTGTGAACTGATCCAACCAATTTGGAACTATTCCCAAAAGGTAATCAATCTGTGCACAACATTTGATCCAGGAATACCACTAGTAAGTCTGTATCCCAAAGAGATCATAAAAAAGGGAAAAGGACCTACATGTGCAAAACTATTTATAGCAGTCCTATTCACGGTGGCAAAATATTGGAAACTGTCCACCAATTGGGAAATGGCTCAACAAGCTGTGGTATATGAATGTAATGCAATACAACTGTTCTACAAGAAATGATTAGCAGGCTGATTTCAGAAAAATATAGAAAGACATATATGAACTGATGCAAAGTGAAATGAGCAGAACCAGAAAAAACATTGTACACAGTATCAGCAACACTGTGTGATGATCCACTATGAATGACTCAGCTCTCCTCAGCAACACAATGATCCAAGACAAGTACAAAGGACCCATAAAGGAAAATCTACATCTACATCCAGATAAAGAACTGATCAACTTCGAATGGAGATTGAAGCATTTTTAAAATTTATTCTTTTTCCTGTTTTTTTTTCCTTTTGATCTGTTTCTTCTTTCACAACTGTGACTAATGTGAAAACATTATTTTGCATGATAGCACATGTATAATCTATATCAAACTGCCTACCATTTTCGGGAGAGGGGAGAGAAAGAAATAGAAAAAATTTGGAACTCAAAATCTTGTAAAAATGAATGCTAAAAATTATCTTGACATGTAAGTGGAGAAAAATACTATTAAAAATGTTTACATTCAGAAGTAAAGGCTCAAAGAGATACCACACACATCTTTTGAGATCTCAGCTAAATGAAAAATCTAATCTATAACTCTTCAATATTTGTATACTTTTATTCCATTAGAAGTGGCCTTTCCCACTCATTTGGAATCTTCCCTTCTTCCAAATGCCTTTAAAAATGATTATGAAGTAAATTAATAATTGTCTTTTATCTGTCATAGGTTTTTTTTTTTCTATATGTATCTGGAGCCTTGTGAAGTACCACTGCCCTTGCCTAACAGAGAATAGCAGGAACTGAGCTGAATGAATCCACATGTTCCACTAGCGGTGTTAATGAAAATAGACATACTGAAGGGCAGCTAGGTGGCGCAGTGGATAGAGCACTGGCCCTGAAGTCAGGAGGACCTGAGTTCAAATCCGTCCTCAGACCAAACACTTGACACCTACTAGTTGTGTGACCCTGGGCAAGTCACTTAACCCCAACTGCCAAAAAAAAAAAAAGACATATTGGTAGTTCTGTTCTATTTCATATCTATTCATTGCCACTCTTCCAGTTCCACAGATAAATTCTTTCAGAATGATATCGTATAGGCTTCATGTCAAACAACCTACAGGTTTATTTTCTCTTCAACTGCTTTTCATTGTTTTGTGAAGCAGTACTGGTCTTCATCTTCTACTCTCTTCCTCCTTAACTTTTTGCAAATTGTGTAGTATTCTAAGCTTGAGTTAATCATAGCCATAACTGATCTCTTTTTGGCACAGATAATGTTTCCCAGCTCATATAATTTCTGGGCTCTTTTGGATTTCTCTTTGGGGCAACTCTTTTGTATTAAACTTCTGAGAAATTACTTATGTCCACTGCCTAACACAGTGCTTAGCATACAACAGTGCCTAACATATGCTTTTTAATTGGATGATTGATATGTCAGTTTCTCATCTTGGGGAGTTGATAGTTTGTTTAATCACAAGCTGCTATAACCACTGCTTGCTTTTCATCTTTATCCTTTCTTCTCATTTATATTAATTTTGACCTTTATGTAGCCTGGCCATGATCTGAATGAACATAGACAACAAATTCTGAAACTATTCCAAAAATGATAACCAGTTATTTTTGTCTGTTATGATAATGTCAGTTCCATTTTTTTTAAATTTGGTGACATCAAATAAGTTTCTCCCATGCTAACGTTAAAATCATACAGGACTCGATGACCCATGCCACCCAAAGGGGTAACTTTTTCCTATGAGTAAGTATTAGCATTAATCTAGATGTAAAGAGTGAGGCATATGCTCACGTAAGGTGTTTCCCAGTGTTACGTAGAATATTCTGCATTGAGTCCAAATAGAATTGAGACTGTATATGGTGGCAAATATTTCCAAATGCTCCTATTTTTGGATGATATTGTGCTAATTGTATCAAGCCCTGGAACATGAAAAAGACTCCTTGATGAAATCTAAACTTAGTTGAAAGAGTCTGGTCTATGAATCCATGCTAAAGACATAGATGAAAAGTATATATTTCCTAGATTCCAGAGAGTCAAAGAGCAGCCCCATCTAGCTTGTCTATCTACATCTTTGTAGAGGTGTTTATATGTATAGATATATATACATGCCCACTGCCTGGATGGGCACTGAAGAACCACAGTACACTGGGCTCATAATTATTGGGAAAAGGAGGTCAAATTGGATCTCATTTGAGAAACTACACAGCACTTCCAATGATCCCAGAGACACAAGAGCTCATTTTATAAACACCAATATTCTCTCTGGAATGCTATTTGGTCACAGTGACTTTTTAAAAATCCCAAAACCAAAAATATGATCTCAATAGGATCAAAATTATAGATAATCCCAAAAGCCATGGAAATATGCACAGTGAGTATAGGGAGACTCAGGCAATAATGACTTTGATGTAATAAGTGGTATGAGTGACATTATCAAAGACACATATAAACAGAAAAAGAGGAGGCCTAATCTTGTATGGAAAATAAAAGCCAGAGAGCATTTTGGATGCACTGGTCCTCAAATATTAAAAGAACCAGAAGAAGGCTTCAATGTCTTTCCTGGATCCTCTATGAAGAATTTATGGAATGATAAGGACAAAAATCATGTAGGATAAGAAGGTATGTGAGGATTAAAATCTGAACCAATGGCAGAAGCATCCACAATGATAAGATCATAAGTTCATGAAAGTATTTCATGTTATTCTTGTAATGATTTGCATTTGTCAATGTGCATATTCTTAAGGATAATCAAAGGAAGAAGGAATAGAAAACACACACTATAATTCTCATGGGTGACATGAAGACTTCATAAAGAGAATCAACTGAATCACTAGAGTACAAAACTTCTATGGAATAGTCTTAACTAACTTAAAATCAAATAAAATCAAATAACTAACTTAAAATCAAATAACCACAAATAGTAATCAACAGTAGTTGGCATGTCCACATGAACTGCTTTCTTTGTTGCAGACTCATAAATACAGTTTTTCTTTTCATATTTAATGTTTGTGGATGTTTTTCACCATTTCAGAATAATAATCAATTTCAGTGATTGTTGTTCATGGGTTCCATGATATAAGTTGTTCTTATTCCTCTAAAAACTTTTCTCCTTTTTTTTTGTATTTCAAGTTTTAATTACTGTACCTTTTAGACTTATCTGAGGCATTCACATTTGCTCCATTCTTTAAGAGAAGATCTACCATATCTTGATTATTTCCTCTAATTGCAAGCAAAAGTGGTGTATACCCTTCCTGCAAAATCATATTAAAGATATTGTTATAGTTTGCAAGAATTCTATATATACTTCAACTCAGTTTAAGAAATTTTGTGAACATCCATGTTAAAAAAGTATGGTACAACGGAATTTTGGAGTGAGAAGAGCAGGACATAAATTCTGCTTCTTATTTCACTTCTCTGGGCCTTAGTTTCCTCACATGTAAAATGACAGAATGAAACTAGATAACCTCTGGGATTCCTTCCAGCTATTAATTTGTGATCAGGAGATAGAAACCCAGATTTGTAAGAGGCTATTTCATATTATTTCAGGAGTATCTTCCTTTCTTGTTATCTTCATGTCATGATCTATTATTGTCTACATGAGGCCACCCTTATTTCCTCAGAACTCTGCTAAGCTAAAGCTATGCCCTGGTTAGTTTTACAGTTAACTAGTTCTCTCTACCCACTCCCCTTGAGTGTGCATAACCAGCCTCAAAACTGAAGATCTTGCCTCGAGGTAGTTAAACCTGGAAGAGCCATTCTCCTGCATTCTCCCTCTCTTCCCAATCATCCTAATGTGTACTTAATGTTTTTTCTCTCTCAAGTGGCAGTGACTAAAAGTTAAACCTTTTCTTAAAAATCAAGAGTTATTCAGCAGCTCTAGAAAGGAAATGGTATAGTCTTTAGGAAATAGAAAAAAACCCACATACACTTAAGAATTTGCTCTTATGAAAATTCTGTCTGGGTAGTATTATACTTAATAGGAACAAATTTTTAAAAGACTTGTCAAAAAAATTGTGGCGTTTCTACATGACAAATTAACATTATGTTATCATAAGTAAAGGTCTATACGCAGAAAAGCATTGTAAGCAAATATTTGGTGTAACCGTTGCATTCTGGGGAGCAGACCTAATATATCATGCAAAGAGAATTCTGAAGAGACAGCTGTGACTGAATGAACAGAAAGCTAGTCTTAAATGAGTAAGACCTAGATTCAAGGCCTGCCACTGGCCCACACGTACTGGCTGGGTGACCCAGGGAAGTCACTTAACATTTCAGTACTTCAAGACACTCCCCAAGACAGGGTTTAACTTTTTTTACGTCATGGACCCCTTCCCAAAATATGGTTTTTAAATGGCTCAAATATATAGAATGCAAAGGATGCCAATTACATTGAAATAACTATAAAGTTATTGTTGCTTACAGTTAATGGATACCAGGTTAAGAATCTCTACTCTAAGATTAAATCGTAGGAGAGTTTCAACATGAATGAAATCTCCTCCCTTGTTTCCTCCCCCTCCCATTAGAAAATGCCAAAGGTCAATGAACTTTGACTACAGAACTATTTTGAGTTATTTTCATTAAAGAAATGCTTCCATGAATATATGAATGATAAAATATGTGAATTGGACACTACCTGATTACACATTTTAGCTCATAAAATAATTTGTTATACAAGAGATAGGCTTCTACCTTGTTTTTTGCTTCCATATCTGCTTTATGTCTCAGCAGCTTTGCTGCTATGGCTGTGTTTTGTCCAGAGGCAGCGTAGTGAAGTGCAGCGTTGTTGCTGGCATCCACAAGATTAGGATCTGCACCATGTTCAAGCAGGATAGTTGCACATTCCTCCTGCTGACACTCTACTGCCTGTCAATATAATATAGAGAAAGAGACAATAAAAACTCTAAGATAAAATTTAGTATGCTAAAACATCATTAGTGACATTTAAATAAGTTAGTAAAGCGTATATACTTAATCAAAGAGAAAAATCAAAATGCATTTCATTGACCAGTGTGATTAAATAGTACATACCTTAATTAAAGGCGTTAGCCTGTCATTGTCAAACAGATTTAGATTGCATTTCCTCTCTACTAAGAGAGACACAACATCTGGATATCCATTAGCACAGGCCAGGTGTAGAGGCGTCCTATGGAAATGAGAGAGCTAAATCAAAATTGCAGTTATTAGTTAATGTGATTTCTAACGTAAAATTCAGTGTTATTCTTGCGCCTGAACTCTAAATCACTGCCAAAATAAATATGTGACCACTATTGTCACCTGAAGAAATACAAAATATGCATTTGCTGTTATTACTGGATATGATGAACAAAATTGCTAGGGGGAAAAAAAACAGCAGGTAGATTAAGATTTCACTATAGATGGACATGATAACTTTGTACAGTTTCTCACCTCAGCTGGTTCACCTCTCCTTAGGCAACCTGATGGCCTCTTGTACTTTGGGAATCACCATAATGATGTCAGACTTAGTGCACACACCCTACTGGCATAGTCCACTGCAGCTCAGAACTCATGAGTTCAAGAGATCTGCCAGCCTCAACCTTACTGGTAGCTGAGATTACAGGTGTGTATCACTCTGCCTAGTTGTTAAGCCTAACAACTTCTTTCCACGAAGAGTATCTATAATTACAAAACATTTACTAAAGTAGCTGCCTCAGAAAAACATTTAGATATTTCCATATTGTGTATTTGTATAGGCACATATGCACATGTGTGTGCATTCTCCACTAAAGCCTTACTGAAATATAGCATTGGACAGTTGAAGTGGATTTGTGCTGCTAAAGGCCATCCCAGCAGGGTACACATTTTGGTAGTTCTACCATTCTGGCAAGATTTGAAGAAAGAGACTGGTACTTCAGCTGTCCATGGACCAACCTAACTTAAGTCCTAAAGATATCACCACGTTGTTAAAAGAGGATGAATAGTTTATCAACAGCAAATCTCAAATACCATCTTTGTTGTTCTTCAGTCATGTCAATGGTGTTCAATTCTTTATGACCCCATTTTGGGGTTTTCCTGGCAAAGATACTTGAGTGGTTTGCCATTTCCTTCTCCAGCTCATTTTACTGATGAGGAAACTGAGGTAAAGAAGGTTAAGTGACTTGCCCAGGGTCACACAACTAATAAGTATCTGAGGCCAGATTTGAACTCTGGAAGATGAGTCTTCCTGGCTCCAGGCAGGGCATTCTATCCATTGAATCACCTAGCTGCCCCTAGCTGATCCTCTAATAAGTTATAAAGAGGTTATGATATGTTTTGGTGGAGAGACTATCAACACCAACAAAATCACGTATTCCTGATGTAATGAATGTGGATCTAAATATTCATGCATGTAATATTTTTCATTTTTTTCTTGTTCTTCAGGACTCCCCTTTTGTATTTCCCTCATGCTTTCTTCCAGAGTGCCTAAGGTAGGTAGAGGGGGAGAGATTTCTTCCTTCCCTATCCTTCCGGCAGCAATGGTGATGTGCTTGGATGTAGCCTGAAAAGGAAGGAAATCAGCATCTAATAAGTGTATACTATGTCCCAGACACTGTGCCAAGCACTATACAAATGTTATCTCATTTGATCCTTGTAATATCCCTAGGAAGTAGGTGCTATTATTAGTCTCATTTCATACTTGAGGAAAATGAACAAACAGCAGTTAAGTAACTTGCTCTGGGTCACATAACTAGAAAGTATCTGAGGTAGAATATGAATTCAGGTCTTCTTGACTTTCCAGGCCAAGCACTCTATTCCCAGTTGAAAAATAATTTTGACAAGACAATATTACCTTGAATTAATAATTAAACAAAACAAAAACAACATTGAATAATATTTTTGTATCTCTTAAAAATATTGGATACTAATGCTTAAAAAAAGTTTAATTAGAAAATGGAGGAGATGACATGAAGCCTTTGATTATGGAATGTGAGGGGAACTTTAAGTGCTTTGAGAGCAGGGATTGTCTTTTGCCATTCTTTGATTCCCCAACTCTTAGCAAAGTGTTGGTTACATAGTAGATACAATAAATATCTGTTTATTTACACATAGCACCCCATCTCCTGACATTGTCTTCACTGGCTGTCTCCATGACTGGAATGCTGTCCCTCCTTGCTTAACCTCCCGATTTCCTTTAAGTCTCAGCTAAGTCTTGCCTTCTACAAGAAGTCTTTTTCGATCTTCCTTAAAACTAGTGCCTTCCCTCTGGGACTACTCCCAATTTATCTTGTATGTATTTATATATATATACACATATATATTTGTTTTTACCCATGTTATCTTAACAATCTTTCTCTCCTCTCCAGTGCATCATACTTCTTCAACACACATGCTAATACTCCCTCAAACACCCTCACTTCATAGTTCCTCAACTTTCCCTTTTCACATTATCTACTTCATACAAACTCAGTTACATACAAACATGGAACAGGTATGTAAAAATGATACTCAAATTTCTGATATTTTACTTTGGTAAAAGTGACTTTCATGCTAGTTTTATTGGAAGTTTTCAAAAATTTAGTTTACTTTTAAATGCATTTTATATTGCTTTAGAAAATAATGCATGTTTCAGTGAACAGATAGGATTTTTTTTTAACTCTTTTCCTGATTCTCCTTTTAAGTATCTGATCCTCTCATCAGTCTCCCTTACTGATTACCTCCCCCATTAGACCTCCTAGAATGCAGGGACAATCCCTGCTCCCCCATTTCTTTGTATCTGTTTCTGTTAGGCAGGTGCCTGACACATACAGTAGATGCTTAAAAAAAGCAGGAATTAATTTTCTGCCTTGACGCTTTTACACTCCACATATCGTGGCCATATTTCACCAGAAGGGGCAACTAAGAGGCACGATGGATACGAGTGCTGGGCCTGGAGTCAGGAAGACTCATCTTCCTGACTTCACATCTGGCCTCAGATACCCATGTGACCCTGGGCAAGTTACTTAACCCTCTTTGCCTCAGTTTCCTCATCTGTAAAAGGAATTGGAGAAGGAAACAGCAAACCATTCCGGTATCTTGGCCTAGAAAATTCCCCGAATGCCGTCACGGATAGTCGGATACAACTGAAACGACTCAAAACAATATTTCACTAGAAGAGAGTAGTATTTGCTCCCACGTCGCCATCGAGAAAGAATAAGTTGGTCGGACCCTGGCTCAAAGTACAATGAAGGAGTTTCCCGTTCATTAAAAGTGGACAGGCAGGAGGGTGAGGTGACCCCAGCTTTCGGGACTTGCTGTGCAATGTCCAGGAGGCAAAGCCTGGCCCTGACCCCGCCGGGAGGCGCTGCCCTGTCCCAGGTGCTGAGGGGAACAGCTTCTCCCAGGGTTAGTGAAGACACGGACCCAGGAGGAGGGAGGGGTGGAGGGGGTGGGGGTCTCAGGCTGCTGGGAGGGGAGGGGGGAGCCCTTCCCTTCTCTCCCCCCTCCCCGCCCCTCTTACCGGTTCACTTTATCCCGATCGTTCACGCCTGCCTTCCCCAGCAGCAGCAGCTGCTGCACCTTCGCCACGTCCCCGACGGAGGCAGCTTTGTGGATCTTCCCCAGGTCCTTGGCCCTGAGGAGGTATCCTGCATTAGGGCCGAAAGCTAGGACCCCGTTGTCCCTCCGCGGGACGAAGGAGGCTCGAGAGGGAGACAGCTCTCTCTTGCTGCCAAAGCTGAAAAACTTCTTCATCCTGATGGTCGGCTTCAGAGAGGCTCGGGAGAACTCGCGAGGGGTTCTCCCTTGGCCTCTCAGCCTTCTCCGAGCCCTCGCCTCCGCTCCAGAAAAGTGTAGGGGCCGGAGAATGGAGGTTCAGAGACTCCAGAGCGCCCAACAGTTACAGAAGATTCAACCCTGGAGACGGTTGTAGCCTTGGCAACGGAGCGAGATGGACTGAACTGCGCATGCGTTTATCACATCCGCGGGTCACGCGCATGGGCGCAAGCGTAAAGCCGCTCACGGGTGAATGCGCATGTGCTGGTTAGGGTAGCGCTCCCTGGGAGGGGTCCAAAGGTCAAGCTGGGGAGCGAGGCTGAGCTTCAGGCTGCGTCTCCTGCTAGAGCTTCTTTCCACTCTTTGCACCAAAAGAAGATGCACATCCAAGTAGCAGACATGGGGACAAGGTGTGGCCTAATTGGCACCATGCTGTATCTGGATTCAGACAGCTCGGATTCGAATCCCGGAACCTGCTCTGTTGTTTCCCTTTGTGAAGATGGGTAAAGCCCTTCCTCTCCGAGCCTCAGTTTCTTCTTTTGTAAAATGAAGACGTTGTACTAGATGACCTCCCAAGTCTCTTCTAGCCCTTAATGAGTCTGTGAAGCCCAGACTGAAAACAAGTGCGATGGGGTCTGCTGGATCCCCTGGGACAAATACATCTAGGTTCCTCTTTCTTCTGATTCTCCCTTCCACTTTATTGCTTTCAGGAGAAGCGGGAATGATTTTTATGGGATGGGGAGCCTGACACAGGGAGAGTGCAGCTGGCCTTAGCCAGGAGGCCCTGGGTTCAAGCCCAGGCTTTGCAGAATTTCAGTTGCCTTACTGATGCCGTTGTTAATGGTGGGGAGGGTTATAGCAGTTCACTGGAAAAAGATATGTCAATGTTAGTTGATCCTAAGTTGCTAAAAGAGTTTAATATACCCTAAGGCTATAGTAATAGAATAATAAGGTTTAAATCACAGAGGATAATAGTCACATTCAACTCTGGGCTGAGGGGACCCTGTCCAGATTATTGTGTTTAATTATGAGTGCTGCATATAGGAGGGACATTGATAAATTCTCAGAAGAGATATGGATGAACTAAGAATGACTAAGACAGAGGAGACCAAGGGAAGGCATGATGTCTATTTTTAAATATGTGAAGGGCCATTGTGAAGCCTTGGGTGCCTCTAGAATGAATTGCTAAGACTAGTTATGACAGGAGCCTGGTTTTGACTTGCATAAGGAAAAATAAACTTTATAGCAATGGAATGGACTTCTCGTGAGATAATACCCTTCAAGTAGAAGCTGATTGTGGTGCAGAAACAATTCTTACACTGATTGCAAGGCTGGACTCCATGATTTTAAAGGTCTCTTCTAACACCCATATTTTGATTCTCTATATTAGTTTATATCATACTGTTGCAGCGTTCCATTAGAATAGATCATCAGAGTTGGCTTTGTTTTTAAGATACATATAATGTAGAGCAGGAGCTAGAAAAATTGTGTTTATTGAAGTTAGTTCAACCTTCAAAGCATAAGGAAAATCCTGCAAAGGGGAATAGAACAGGCTATTATCTAACTGGCCTTGGCTTTCCCCCCCTTTTTCTCCTCTGCTAGTTTCCATTCCTGATGTAATATGTATTCTCTCCACTGTGAGCATTCATACTGTTCATTCCGCTCTAGAATCACTGGACTTGAGAATATAGAAATGATGCGTACCTACCCTGATGAATGGGTGCTGCTGCTTTTTTTTTCTGTCCAAAGAGCCAAAATGTAAGCTCATCCTGTGGGTTTTTTGGTCTCAGTGTTGGACCGTTTGTGGCCCAGTGTGTAAATCCATATGTTGGTGATTGTACTTGTGCCTTGACCTGTCAATATTTCTTCCATCATTATATACGTATTATACTGTGTGTAATTTGTGGGCAGAAAATTATTATATAATTGTATAATTATTTGCTAATGTATATAATGCTTATTGGGGAGAGGACCAATGTGTATATTATAAAAAACTCTACCTGATATCTATAGGGAATAATAAATTAATAAATTAAGTTTGTTAATACTTCAAATATAGAGGCAAATCATTAATTAAAACCTCATAACTTAATGACAAATGTTTGGCTGAAACCTAGTATGAAATTTATGGAAGTTGAAAAATATTTTCATGAGTTTTTAATGAAGACAGATGAAAATAGACTAGATGAAAACTAGATGAAAATGGACAATTTTTATTACAGTTATTATTGGTGATACTAATAGCTCCCATGTACCTAGTATCTTGTGGTTCATCTAGCACTTCACATATTTTATCTCCGTTTTTGCAAAAATGCTATGAAATAGGCAGTTAAAGTACAATTGTCTCCATTTCATGGCATTGGGCATACCTAATAAATAAAAGAGGCTAGTTTTGAACCCAGTTCTTTGGATGCCCAATCCAATAAAGCCATGTGTTGAAAAATTTCTTTTTGGATTTCCTTTATATAGGACATATATGTGTAATTTTTCCCTTCTCTCAATCTGTTTTTGAGTCTATATAGATTCTGTCTTTATAGGACTGAGTCTACATATGTGAAGTCTTCCCATTGGTTCTCAAGCCAGAACTTAGCTAGGTTCAAATTAATGCAAATAATGAATCTTATGAATTAGTCACATTATCTGGATTTGTACTACATGTTAGAATCAGGCTGGAACCAACTGCCATGTTTTATATAATTATAACTTCAAATAGTGAGAATACGTGGGACAACCTCAGGGAATTCATTATTTGTACTAATCAAGACTTATCTGTATGCCTATAGTTCTGGCTTAAAAACCAATGGAGAGGGCAGTTAGGTGGTGAAGTGGATAGAGCACTTGCCTTGGATTCAGGAGGACTTGAGTTCAAATCCGGCCTCAGACACATAATACTAACTAGCTGTGTGAGCCTAGGCAAGTCACTTAACCTCTTTGCCTAGCCAAAGAAAAAAAACAATGGAGAGGCTTAAACCCATGACCTCACCCCCCCCCCAAAATGTTCCTTTTCCTTTTATACCTACACAGCATAATCACTTCAAAGCTTCCCAGGAGAGTAGAGTAAGAGAATAGTGGAAGTTGTATATCTTCCAGAGTCACTAGGTGACTGAGTAGCAACCTCAAGGTGCATGAGCCCAGGTGACCTTGTAAGTTCCGAAAAGTCATGAGGTCCTGGTAGGCCATTAAAGCTGTGCCTGTAATGTCTACTGAAGTGGTCAGTTGTGGTGACAGCAGCAGCAAGAGTGGGCTAAAACAAAAGGAAGAGCTGGCATTTGAGAAAGTGGGGCTGCTGGAAAAGATCTGTCTTGGAGATCTGTGTGTATGTGTGTGTGTGTGTGTGTGTGTATATGTGTGTGTATATATATATATATAATATATATGTGTGTGCATATACATACTATATATACATATATAAATATTTATACATACACTACACACACACACACACACACACACACACAGTGCTTGATTGAACCTGTTCGTGAAAAATGTGAAATAGTTAATTAGAAGAACTGTCAAACTGAATTATGTACCCAGACTTGCTCTCTGCCCCCTGGCAGGTACAAGTTACAAGCTGGCTACAAGTTGAGTTTCCAAATCCTATTGAAGTTATTCTTTTAATGCACACTGTGATTCCCTTACACTCATCACTGTTTTCTGTGTGGGAAGACAGCAACTTGTTCTATTATCTGATGCATGGGAAGGCATTTTTACTTTCCTTCTTTTGGGAAACCCGAGATTACAGCTAAAAGCAACATTACTGTAAATAGCAATTTTCCCTGTGAAGCAGAGGTAGGGTGAGGAGCCAGTGGATGTTCTAATAGCTTCCAATTCCATAGCTTTCTTCGGCTGTTTGAAAGTCAGGCTTCTACCAGAATTGGATGGTGGGAAAAGGATGATGGCAGGGAAAGGACAAAAATTTGTGCATGTTTAGAGTATTTGTGTCTTTAGCCAAGGGCGATCTAGCTAGCCATTGTACTTGATATAGGGAATTTGGCATAATTTTAGGACTCTTCACATTTGCAGGGTGACTAGGGAACACAGTGAATTGAGTGCAGGACTAGGAGTCAGGAAGACCTTAGCTCAAGTCCAACCTCAGATACATCCTAGCTGTGTGACCCTGGACAAGTAGCTTAACTTCTGTTTGCCTCAGTTTCCTCATCTGTAAAATGCGGATAATAATAGCATCTACCTCCTAGGGTTGTTGTGAAGCTCAAATGAGATAATATTTGTAAAGTGCTTAGCAGAGGGCCCAACATATGGTAAGCACTATATAAATGTTAGCTATTTTTATTATTATCATTATCATTATCATTATTGGAGGGATTCTCCCCAGAGGACTCTTAGAAAGTGTTCGGGGGCTTCCCATATGGAGAGTCTAGCATGGACTCAACTAGCTAGATTTGTCCTAGGGCCTCTAGATTTCTTTCAACTCTTTTGTGTATTTCTTTCCTTTGGCACTGACCTTGAGAAAATTGTAAGAACCTAGAGGTAATAGAAGCAAGAGCTTATACCAGAGTGATTATGATTACAGCAGAAAGAATGAGCTGGGGCCAAGGGAATCGTTTTCATGGGGAGGGGAGGAGAGACAGAAAAAGAGAGATGGAGAGAGACTGAAAATTAGAAAGAAAATTCCACTTAGTATTAAATTGTCTTATATCTTGTGAAGATGAAATGTTCTGAGGTAATTACCAACACTGCAAAATCTGAATATAAGCTTACTATTGTATTTGTGATAAATTACTGGATTCCAGTCAAATCATTGTGTGATTATCACTTAGCATTTTCTTTTTTGTTTGAGAATAAAGCTGCCCATTCCAGGTCTGATTCTTTTTTAAACTATTTCCCTTTTTCCATACCCTAAAGTCAAATATAGAATTATCCCTGGAGTTGGGGAAGGGGCCTGTTATGTTGGAGAGCTTAGTTCCTCTATTAAGAATTCAAGTTCGCCTGGTGTGGAAACTTTGACAAACCACAATGGAAGTGAAAGTCTTGGATTGGCCCAGATTGTTGTTTCTGAGGGCCTCAGCTAAGCAATGCCTCACTAGCTACTATGCTGGATATTATCCTGAGTGGGTACAGAGAGTATCACTGAATAATCATAGAACTGAAAGAGTTTTAGATAAATAAATTTGAAGTCTAATCCAAATTTCAATTGACTGATGGGGCTTCTATG